GTCATAAGGCCCCATTCCTTAACAGAGATTCTGCAACTAACCATCACTTTTTCTCTCCTAAGCACTGGCCTTGATTTATTTCTTTGGTATTTGAACTACCACTTTAGTTCCCTTTGTTGCAATTTCCTCATATTGTAATAATTGTTCTCATAAGGGCGTATGAAACCTCGTAAAGGGAGCAGGGTGTCTAAGAAGCACGAAGCTGCTAAAAAGAAGTTACAAATAGGAGATACAAAAGCCAATTAATAATTTATTCTCAATGGAGTGCCCAGCAGCCAAACCAAATATTGGGTTATTTGTCAATTTGGAAAGAACTGGGCATGTCCCTCAGTGTTTCACAGCAATGCAGTATCTCAAGCAAAAAGAACCCAAACTTACCTTTTTCCCTTATTATATGGCCATAGCATTTGTCAAGATCTTAAACAAAGCACAACAGAGTCTAATGCTATAGTTCCAACATGTGTTGGCTTGAGTTGAGTCATGACACATATAAAGACCTCTCCACCACCCACTTAAGATTCCTGTTATTCTTAGAGCAGATTTCCTGGGCCTTATGCATGCACAGATACCTTAAACAGAGGGGATTCTCACTGCTTTACACTAGGAACTGAAAAGAACTCCCCATGTGCCAAAGTTGAATTCATGCATTTGGAAGGCAAGGAACATAAACTGTCTCATGTTCTCATCTTTCCTAGGCTCGCTTTTCCCTGCAAGTCCAGAACACACTGTGGGTCATGGACCCTACCACTACGGGTAAAAAAAAAAGGGTGACAGGGACTTAAATAGACACTCCTTTCTCCAAATGGAGAAAAGTAGAAATTATCAGGAAGCAGCTTTTTTAGGGGGAAAAAAAGGGGGGGGAGTGAGAGCTTAATCAAATAAGGGAGGAGAGCATTGGGGAAAAAAACAAACCTAAAAGTTAAGCATATGAAAAACTAAATTTATATTTTTATAGTTACAATTAAAATGCAATATAGCATCTGAAAGTAAGCCTGAGCGCCGTTTAACAGCTCAATAAGTTCCAAGTTAAGGCATCTGAACTACAACCAAAGACTTTGGTCGCAGCACTTTTTAATCTCTTTCATCCAAAAGAACATATTTTATAATTTTATATAATTACAACAATAATAATAATAACAATAATAATATAGTTTTTTTTTCTGCTAAAAAGTATTTCAATGATCATATACATTTAGAACCAAGGCATGATGGCATTGGGGTACCTAATAAAGGTGAAGAGACCTTACGGGGGAGGGAGGAGAAAGCAAAACAAAATGAATCAACCTGTTCTGGGCCATGCCCACTTCCCAAGTATTCACTCTAGGCATTGCAAGGCTGACCTGTACAGCAAGCAGACCTTATTCTGCACACAATATTCCTGGGAGACAGAAATGGGATCTGAAAGCTAGATGTGGCAGCTGAGTCCCCATCTTCCATCACTTCTGTAATGAAAGGCATCTCTTGGACCTACTGCTACCTTGAGAATCCTATGTTTGTACAATATCAGACAGATCCTCAGAATCCGTTGCCACTGATGTTGATTGATTGGAGATCAGCCACTTGCATGACATTGATACCGCTGCTTGCAAGGCGTGCAATGCCTTCTGGGCAGATTGCTTCCATGGCCACCATGTTGGTTGCAATGAGGGCTGAAGGTGTTGCCCCACCAGTGCTCTCTGTAGAAGCATTTGCATCAATGGAGACTGCAGAGACGTCCATAGCCACACTGTTAGGTGCACCTGCCTTCTTGTTTTGGTGGGTCTTGATGTGTTTAGAAAGATGATCGCTTCTCATGAAGCGCTTGGGGCACTCTGGACAGGCAAATTTTTTCTCTCCTGAAGAAAGAAAATGATCATGAAGCTGTCCATTCATTTCATTCTTATGATCCAACATCTTCCCATCAGGAACTGTCCCATTTTTAGAAAATCAGCAAGCAGTATATCAAGCCATTCAGAATTCTTACTCTGGTAGGCTCCAGTTTAGATTACTGAAATGGGCATATGCAGGGCCCCACTTAGCAGAAGATACTTACAAAGGGCAAACTCACCCACACCTATTCTAGCTCAAAGGAAGCAGTTACCTATTTCCTTCTCAGACCAGTTCAAACCTCATTATTTTTAAAACCTTCTCTGTATCAAGAGAAGCCTTTATCCACATAAACCATTTCTTAAGATCTTCAGGGTGTTCTACATCCAAAATGAGATAATTAATACTCTATATGGGAGCCTATTTTGCTGTGGCTTCTCTTTTGGAGAGTAGATTTCCTCAGAGACATCAGTCTTAGGCCACCCAAATATACCAGTCATATGGCTTATAATCACTTGCTTTCCCCCATTCGATGGAAGTATTCCAGCTTTGTTATCTTCAACCAATATTAGACACCTAAAAAGGTTTTTACAAAATAGTCTCTAAAAAAGAGACATTTTAAATGCCATGTCCTTGCATAGTTTTCTTAGCTGATTAGTTCTTAACTTTCAGTTTGACAAAAGTCCAGTTTTATCACTAATGATTGCTGGTGAATTTTTACTCTATTGAATGTTCCCACATGATACTGGCTATTGTTTTATGCCCTGATTCTCATTTTTCAATTCAAGACTCATTTACAAGCCTTTAAAGCAGAAAGCAAATTAAATAAAATAATATTTATTTCTGTTTTTTTATCACCCAGACACGTTTGCCAGCTGGGTTATTTTGTTTTGTTTCTAGATAACACTTTTAAATTTGCTGTTTTACATTGGTTTACAATTATTGTGAGTTGTTCTGAGTAAAACAAATACATTCCACAAATGTATTATTTCCAAAGCACTTTCTGTCTCCACATCCTACTGCATACTTATAGCAATGTATTTCATCCTTAAAACTTCTGAGGCAAGGAGGCATTTATTCCAAAAGTACTGCTGTAGTTTTTTTAAAGCAGCAAACCTGCTTATAGTAGCTGTAACTGCCTCCTATAGACAAGCCTTGACATCATCATACACGATACAAAAAGTTCACAAAGTGCTAGGGAGACATGAAACCAGGAAGGAATGTGTCACATGCTTTACTTACATCTTCAAACTTATTCTGAATAACTAAGTTGTAGCTCTACGCATATACTTGGGTTAAGAAAGAAGATCCCAACAGAAAACCTGTTTGAAACTCCTCCTTCACCTCAAGCTACATACAGTGCTTGCTCAGGCCCAGGAACTCCTTGTACTTACCAGTGTGTGTCCGCTTGTGTCGTTGTAGCTCATCACTGCGTGTGAAACGCTTGCCACAAAACATCCACGAGCAAACAAATGGCCGTTCGCCAGTATGCCATCGAAGATGAGCTCGCAGATGAGATGTCTTCCCATACACTTTCCCACAGCCTGGGATGTGGCAGATGTGCTGCTTCTTTTTGCCAGGGTCCCCCGAGCCTCTAAAAAGGGTGACATCAGACAAACTGGTTTGTTTACCCTTTGTTTTGCCCCATGGCAAGGAGGGAGAGCTACTGTCACACAGAATTATCCACCATCTTCTTGGGTGGCTGCCATGAGCACTAGAACTGACGTCACAGCCCTCCACAAAAATCCACTCCTAATCACAAACACTCCAGCAATATAATGGGAGCAGCCGGGTGGAGATTACCTTGTGATTAAGTGACTACAAATCAGAAATCATTCCAAGAGTTGCATTTAGATCCTGATCTAGAATGCAAGAATAAGATTTTTGCACAAGGAAGGCGCTTTGTCAAAACACACTGGACAATCTTTAAATCATACATTATGATGTCTGCACTGCTTGTTCTTCCGTATTTTGAAAACATCCATGCTTTACATATCCCAACAGCAGCTGTTTGCACCTTCTAGAAAAGCACAGATACTTCAGAAAAAGCAAGGTGCAACTGTTTTCAGAAATATAATGCTGCTGTTACCAACCCTAAGAAGAAGAGAGTGGTGTGAGTGTGCACATGCTTGGAAGCTACTTAGCATGGAGCAAAGCAAATGGTGAACCAACTGTTACAAGCTTCTGGATGTGATCCTTCCCCACAAACTGTACAGAAGGGGAGCTATTCAATGTTGTGTCTTTATGGATCTTATGTGTTGTAAACCACTCTGAGTCTGTGGAGTTTATGTGTTATAAACATTGTAAATAAACAAATCAATAGTGTCGCTTTCTCAAACTACATTTTTCGGGAATCTTTCAGGAATCTTTTTTCTTTGCAGGGCAGTATACACGAGAGCTGAAGGGCTTTTGACTTAAGATTGATGTCCTCAACCGAACATGTTTCCCAAACTGAACATTCTGGTTCTAAGACACTACACCAGGAGTCTATGCCAATCCCTCATTTAGTGACTTTGCACCACAGTTCACTCCAAATTTACAGCAGGCTTTCCTCGCACAAGCTTACCTCCCATCGTTGTCTTTGCAATAAGGACAAGTGCAGGCTTCTCTGCGCATTCTTCGGACTTGTTGTGGCTGGGCATCTGGACTAGCTTCCCCTTCTTCCAGAGTTGTTCCATCATCACCCAGCCCATCACCAGCAGTACCATGGAGGCTGAGGTGGGTATTATGATCACCTGTAGAAGAAATTGGGATTTTTACCATCTCAAAAGACAAAAGTTCATCTGTCATTGAATCAGTGATATTTAAGCATTTAGGCCATTACATACACTACCTGAATTATCAAAACAAAGGATGAATATATTCAAATACAGGAACACATATATCAACTGTATTACCATTTGTACAGAAATTGTTCTAAATATTGAATATAGTTATTCCCAATTTTTCTTTCCCTTCGCTTCTGTTTTTGTTCCTAGTTAATTTTACATGTTAACTTTTTTTTTTAAAGAATGTCATAAAATTTTATGGATGACACATTTATAAGCAGGACAAAAGAAAAGATCAGAGACATACTTTGGGATAAATGCTTGTATTTAATTGTTTTAAACAAAATTACATTAGTTTAAACTGAATTATTCTCAGAGTCTGTCATGTGTGAAATTAGGTTTCTTAGCATTTTGACATACAGTACTGGTTGCATCCTGATGCCATGATAGCCCTGTGCATGCCTCAGGCTTGCGTGCTTCATTCTTGCCTTTGCGCTTCAAATTTTTGAGCAACCATGACTCAGTAGAACATTTAAACTTAAAATTTGGGGGAGGGGGGTATGAATCTTAACAGTCTGTTGAAATGCGTACCTTCTTAAATCATGCTTTGAAACTGGCTGGTTCACACACTAACCAACATTTAAATTAACCACACTTCCTCAGACCTGAATGACTACCAACTAAAATGAATATTTCCAAAACTTCTCAGAACTAGATATGACAGGGGAATTACACAATCCTAATACTTGTACAGACTTGCTGGGGTATAACCAAGGGGTATCATCTCTTCTTTGGCTTCCAGAGGAAGTGGGAAACATTTGGGCTGTTTTTAGTATTTTGGAGGGTTTAAGGGCAAAATGAGTGTCTTAATCCTTAGATACAGTCACTTACCATCAATTACCTTGGAAGATGTTATTTATTAGTTGAACATTGATTTATTGTATTTTAATCAGTATTTTAACCAGTATTTATTTTTATTTTTACTGTAAGCTGCCCAGAGTCCCTCACTGAGTGAGATGGGCGGTGACTAAATTTGAAATATAAAATAAATATACTTAGGTCTTAAAATCCCTGAATCCTTCCACCAAATGGTCCCTGACTCCTTTCTACTTTTGAAGCGTGGCCCCTGTGGTGCCATGCAAAGGCTGCTATGGCCCTCCAGCTGACAGAAGTTGGTATCTTTATTGCAATGCAGCCCTCTTCCATTCTTATTCATAATCTGAAATGTATTTCAACATTTACGCAACTGCAGTATACTTGATGTTTGAATGTTGTGAGTTCCTGAAACTTTTTCCATATATATTTATACGCTGTATTGTTGAAGTTTGTTCTGGAACTTGCAAAATGCTGGGCTTAACAAAAAACATTTTTTAAAGTATCTGCTCAGCTGGAAATGATTGCAGTTACAACCAAGGGAGCTAATCTGCAAAGCAGATGTGAACTAGCACAATGATAAAGTGAGGAAAGGCAATAAATGCAGCAGTATGTCTCCTAAGAAAGGGATCCAGAGGTTTTTTGGAGCCTGCTAGCTGGCTAATTACCGTGATTACAAAAAGGATATATAAACTTGAAAAATCATCTGTTAACTTCTACACCACATTCTCTTGTCTTCCTTCTTGAAAGCTAATATCCAATTACAAAAACCATAGGAATTATAGCTCAGTGCTGATGAGTTTTCAAATGCAAGATATAAAACATTTCTTAAAGGGAGGGGAGCCCAGGAGGAATGGTAAGCTCTGAAGCCTATCAATTTTTCTTTCCATTTTATTGGTCCATGCTCAGGCTGTCATCTAATTGCTTCTTCTATAACTCCCAGCTACACTTCCCAATTAGTTGATTTCCCTGCAAGTTTCATTGCTTGATTATTTTCTGGCATGGGGAAAAACCTGACACATATTGTAACAGATGCAAAACCCAGCAGGCCAAGCAATCTGTTTTTTGAGGAAATTAGCATATGCCAGTACAATACATTTCAATTGGACCAAGGCATATGAACTGTCTTCAAGAGTGCTCCTTGGCTCATGCAACGTGGTTTCTATTTAAAAGAAGACATAGCCCCTTAAAGCCAATGCTGTCATTAAGCTTGCAGCCCACATGCCGTGCAGGTCCAGGCCAGACACAGAGTATTCGCCAACAGGTGAGCGATTCAGATGATGTTGGCGACAAGGAACTAAAGGCTGTATTCATTACAAGCCTTGATCCCAAGTAAGCATTCTTATAAAGCCTTTTATACGGTTGACAATATCTCACATAATTTATCTCAAGAAGCTTAGAGCAACACCACATAGGAAAGGCTAATGTATGATTATACTCATCACAAAAGAGATGGCCAAGGTGAGATTTAAACTGAGGATTTCTTTACTTCGAACTGATGCTTTCTGTTGCTATACTATACCAGCATTTAACTGACAGGCAAGCTCCAAATCACAATATCCTTCCTCTGGCATCCTTGAGGTTTAATTAATAAAATTACTTATAGTGGCGGACTTGCTGCTACCCCTGTGGCTCTGGCAATATTAGAAGTACAAAAACGTGATTGGGCACACCTTCCTGGTAATCTACATGCCAAGTGGCTTGATATAACCAGAGACAGAAATAAATCCTTTTCCCCATAAAAGTGAATGGGACAAACAGGGGCAATCCAAAGAAAATAATTCTTCACAACTCTGTAGTTTTAAATATTTTTCTCCGTTTTCTTCTGAGAACACCAGAAACTGTGTTCAGATTAACTGTGGAAGTCCTCCAGAATATTTCCAATCAATTGGAAATAAAGTCTTTAAAAGCTTTAAAGTCAACAGTTTGCCTCAAGGGGAGAGCCAGCATAGAGTACCTGCCCCCCCAGCTCTTCATAAAGGAGGATTTAGACAAATCAACAGCATACCCTGTTGTAAAGGAGTAACTTTTGCTTCATTACAGTGGAGTAATAAACTCTTAACAAATATGAACTTTGCACCAAACAATTATAAATAAGGAAATCCTGATATAGACTATGCTGAATGGCTAAACAAGCACTAGAACTGTAAAATTCCAAAATTCATATGCATGAATTGTGAACTATATAAAATTACAACTTTTTATTCTAATGGTTCAGCTCTCCACAGAAAGCTTCAGTTCTAAGCAAAACTTGTAAGTAGAACAATAGATTCTGATCTTGTTGTGCCAGATTTGTAGAAATGATAAGTTTCTTGTTTCATGTGTCAAGTACCAACACTTTTTGAACCAAATAATAGGAACAAAATCCTGGCAGCTGTTCATGTTCATAGATACTAAAGTTTCACTTCTCTGACCTCTCAATTTTAATTGGGAGAAAAGAGATCAAGCATAAACACAAACTAAAGGTGCAACTGTGGACAGAAGAAAGACAAATGTTACTACTGAAGTCCCACACATCTGAAATGCCTTATCTTGGTTGTAAACAAGCCAACCATTTCCTGTAGAAGCCAAATGTAACCAAAAGCAGTAGTCTAGTTCACATAGTGACATCGCACAATTTTAATCACCTTCACATGGGATGGAGATAGGCTCTGATATGGCCCCAAATCAGTCTCCAAATGAATTTCACTTGTTTCCACAAATAGTAGAATAAAATGGAAATAAGGTAGTAGACTGGATTGTATTACTTCAGACTGGAAGTGCAGTAAATTACACTTCTGAATGTTTTTTATGCTTAAAGTATGGTTATAAAGTACACCATGATTTTTGTTTACTGTTGATTTCAGCCAATCAATCAAGAAGCTAAATCCTAAGAAGGCTTGCTGTGTGGAGCTGGTTCATAACCTGGAGTGACCAGGAGGGCCTCTGCACAGCTCTATCTTGTGTACCAGTTATGGCCTTTCCTAGATTAAAAGGCCCTGATGACTATCACTATGCCTTGGTCACCTCTTGTTTGGACTACAGCAATGTACTCTACCTTTGGCTGTCCTTGAAGACCACCCAAGAACTTCAGGTGATCCAGAAGGCAGCAATTTGGGTAGTTTGGGGCACTGGTTGATTTTCCTGCATAAAACTGATACTTTGAGAGCTGCGCTAGTTTGCTTGCAGGAGTATTACTGTCTCCTCTGAATCTTCTGAATGAGAGGCTAAAGAGGCAGAGCATCAACCTGAAGAGCCAGAAGGCAGACGCTTCAGGCAGCTCTGGGAGATAATGAGCTTGAGAAGGTGGGACCTGATTTAGATAATGAGGGGCCAGATTCTGGCAGGGCACCTAGCCCAAGAATATGCCAGCAGAACAATGGTGAACAGCACACTGCCATGCCAGCACCTGGGGCTATACAAGAACAGCCTCCAGGCCCTTATACATTTCTACCTCTGTACTCATGTCACTTTTGCTTTGCACTCAGACCCTCAGTTTGATATTCAGACCAGCTTGTATAAGTCTCTGGTGCTAAGACCCTAGGCTAACATGGATAATGCTTGCAACTCCACCTCTGCCTTTATCCTGCTATCACCAGGCACAGAATTAGGTGCAACTGAAGACTGAACATTAAAGCTCAACATGGCTTAAGACCCAGGTAATCTCTAGCACTGTGAAGAAAAGGCTCCCTTTGGGTCCCTATCCCTACAGAATGTTATCTGCAACAGGTCTTGTCAGTCACTGCCCCTCTTCCCTGGAATAGCATTACCTTGGAGATCACACTGGTGCCAACTTTCTTGGCCTGTTGGAAAGAAAGACCTGCCTTTTTTAGCAAGTCTTTCAGTTATTATGTGTTGAAATTGCCCCCTCTTGCAGAGGAAATGTTTATATTTGTATTTAGGTTGATCCCTCCAGGCTTGGGGATATTTCTTTAGATACCTTAATATTTGTACTGTACTCTGAGCAGCTTAGAGATGGCAAACAAATACATGAATAATTCTAATAATAAATAAATGAATGTTAGTTTTTCTTCATAAAAGTAGTAAGATCTTTGGCTGAAAAACATTAACTAAGCAAAGAGATTCTATGGTACATCGATTACATGCTTTGCTCA